GCTCTTGGGAACATTACATTCTGCTTCCCAGGACTGTACAAACATGGGCCAGATCCTCCGTAGTGGAGTAGCCACAGTGTACCATGCCACCAGTGTAATCTGGGATCCTAAAAGTGGCTTAACTGGCGCAGGAAGGATCACCTCCCTAATCTTGTAGTGATATGGAATTGACATAGGCACTCTTATGCTTCACCCATCCCCACTTGCTCTCAGCACTGGAGTGAAAATAGAACATGACCTGTGCAAAGAGGGTATGGCTTGGATGTCACTCAAGTATGCCAGTTCTTGGATGAATGTGTGGCTCCCTGTAACTGCTGGAGCTCATCACAAGTTGAAGCAAGTCTCAGACTGCTTCAAAAAGGCACAAAGGGACCAGCACTACATAGCACTGCATCAGGAGAGTGCAGAGTTGAACTTTAAACTAGCTTTGCACACCACTCCCCTGGATAGGGCTCCATCCAGGGATCCGGCCCGTACTCTCAACTGCAGTATTTGTGCCTGGCTAGAATGGGACATCTTAGGCATTTCTGAATACCCTTCTGGGCAGGGTAGATTATATTGAGCATTTCTTTTTTGGTCTGAGCAAATTTCTGTTGTGTTTTACTCAGTGCTTGGAAACACATGCCAACGAGTGACACTTTTGCAGAAAGATAGTGCTCCATTTCATGTGCATTTGCATTGATTGAGATTTTAGGGTATTTGTTAATTTCAAAATACCAAATATGCATCCGAAGAAGTGGGCTGTAGTCCACGAAAGCTTATGCTCTAATAAATTTGTTAGTCTCTAAGGTGCCACAAGTACTCCTGTTCTTTTTTCAAAATACCAAGGCTCCTGTAAAATATTTGTTTTAAACTCCCAAAAGCATTTCTGTTGCTAGTCGTCCTACTGCCATTCTGTCCTGTCCTCTATCTGCATTTTGAGTGGAACACTTAATTATGACAAACTAGGGATGAATTTGCTTAGATATGCTGACATACTCGTGAATCTCTGAAAGGCCTCCTTGTTTTGGGATCTGTTTGTACAATTGCCATCTTTCTACGCTCTGATCAAAATCTTTTGTTACTCAGGCTGTGTCATGTGTAACTAATCTCATTCTCCCTGATCAGCATTTTTCCTGTTCGTTTTTTCTCTCTCGCTGCAAACTATAACAGTCTCTCATTGTGGTGTGCTTCATTTTGCCTCAAATCAGCAGATAATGAACAGTCATATCCTTCAAGTATAAATTCTGAAAGATCTGGGATTCTCAAAGACCCAGTATGGCCGTTCTTATGTAATACTTTGGTACTGAGACACAGCAGGAGACAAGTCACTTTAACATAGATCTACTAAAAGGGAAATGGAAACTGCAGAGCTTTGCACTTTCTGTACTTTGGATTGGCTCAAACCCTTGCATTGGCCCAAACCCTTGCATACAACACTGAACACACTTTTGCATTATGAAATCTGACTTGGTCTTCTCAGCTGTTCTCCTGAGGCAGTGCTGCTGTTTGGTGCCTGTATTCAAATCCTTTGGTTCTATACGAATCCTTAACTAGTTTGGTTTTACTACAATGACTATACTAGTATCAGAGGGGTAGCCGTGTTAGTCTGGATCTGTAAAAGCAGCTGTAAGCAATTCTGATTCCTTTCCCCTCTGTCACCTCCATCCCCTTAAGAAGTAATTTAAGAACATAAACATCGCTTCTTTGAAGAGCAATAGGAAAATTTGGCCAAAAACCTGTAAACCAAGCAAAGCTTATTTGAAAAGAGAAGAGTCTGAGAGATGCTGTGAGGGCTAGAATTGCTAATATCCATGTCATGCATCCGAAGAAGTGGGTATTCACCCACGAGAGCTCATGCTACAATACGTCTGTTAGTCTATAAAGTGCCACAGGACTCTTTGCTGCAATGACTATACTGTTAATCTAGGCCCTAAAAGTTAGGTCAACATACTTGTGGTGCTCAGTAGGAATGTGATGTGTAGACATGGCCTTAGTCAGTGGTATTTATATTTGCTCAATAACATCTAATTTTACCACCTGCTTGAGTTCGGCTTTTACTTTCCATCAGTCTAGTGTGATTTTGCTTGATGCATATATTTTTGACAGCACAAGGGGAGCCATATCAATAGGATGTATTAAAGGATCCCAGTCCATTTATCAAGTCATCAAATTATTTAAGAATACCTTTTTGCATCCTGCTCAGTAGACAAGTTATACACTCATTTGATCATCTACCTTTTCATCTTCAGCTCAAGCATCTATGGATCTTTCTGTTTCATCATTTCAAATTCTACCAAGAAGTATTTGTTCTTCTCTATACATGCCTGTGTGGCATTGCCACATGGGCTCATTTTATTTCTATTAAATGAAACAAGTTTTGTTTGCAGTTTGAACATGCATCAGTCACTAATCGTTTTGTGTGAGCTTGCTGTTATTACATTGCATTTAGCCGCACTATCTATTTTGAGATTTGCTTTCTGTTCATTTATTTCCAGTCTCACAGACCAGTTTGCTGTAGGACCTTGCTTTGTAAATGTATTAAGAGACCAAACAAATAATTCTTTGTGTTGTCATTATCAGAGATTTGAGCTCCAGTTGTTTATCCATAATGGATTTTATTTTTATATTTCCTTGCAAAAGGTGCTGAGCAACATAAGTGAATGAAGCCGTTACTAGCAGGGTCCCTCAGGGTTCAGTTCTTGGTCCAATACTATTCAATATTTTTATCAGTGATATAGATGATGAGATGAAATCTTTTGCTGGTTAAATTTGCAGGTGACATGAAGATTGATGGAGTAGTAAATAAGGAGGAGGACAGGTTACTGTTACATAGTGATCTGAATTGTCTGCTTAAATGACCACAATCCTACAAAATGTGTTTCAATACAGATGAATGCAAGGTAATACATATAGGAAGAAAGAAATCAGTCTATGCCTACAGGACAGGAGACTGTCTTGGAAAGCAGAGACTCAGAAAAGGACTTTGGGGGTGTCATTATAGAACAGGGGTCGGCAACCTTTCAGAAGTGGTGTGCCAAGTCTTCATTTATTCATTCTAATTTAAGGTTTCACGTGCCAGTAACATATTTTAACATTTTTAGAAGGTCTCTCTCTATAAGTCTATAATATATAACTAAACTATTGTTGTATATAAAGTAAATACGGTTTTTAAAATGTTTAAGAAGCTTCATTTAAAATTAAATTAAAATGCAAAGCCCCCTGGACCAGTGGCCAGGACCCGGGCAGTGTGAGTGCCACTGAAAATCAGCTCACGTGCCGCCTTTGGCATGCATGCCATAGGTTGCCTACCCCTGTTGTAGAACAAACTCAACATAAGCCTTCCATGCTATGCTGTGACTAAAAGGGCTAATGCAATCCTTGGATGAAGAAAAAAGAAAATATCAAGTAGAAGTAGGCAAGTGATCTTGCCTCTGTGTGCAGCAGCACACAGCACTGATGAGACTGCTACTAGAGTACTGTGACCAGTTCCAGAATACAGTGCCACACTCCAAGAAGGATATGGAAATACTCGAGAGAGTTCAAAGGAGGTCCACAAAGATGACCCAGTGGCTGGAAAACTAGCCTTTTGATGAGAGGCTTAAGGAGCTCGGTCTATTCAGTTTGTGACAGAGAAGGTTGAGAGGTGACTTGATCACTGCACATGGTTATTATTTACACATGCAACAGATATCTGACAGTGAGGGGCTTTTCAGTCTTTCAGACAAAGGCATAACAAGATCCAGTGGCTGTAAGTTGAATTTAGATTAATTCAACCTTGAAATAAGATGGAATTTCTAGCAGTGAGAGTAATTAAACATTGGAATAGCTTACCAGGGGAGGCGGTGGACTCTCAGTCTCTTGGGGTCTTTAAAACAAGTTTAGATATGTTCCCAAAAGATATGCCTTTATCCAGTTTCTGGTAACAATTCCATGGCCTGTGTATACAGGATGATGATAGTGGCCCCTTTTGTCCTTAGAGTCTTTAAATCTATGAATCTATTGCTTTTATTGAATATGTGACACTGCTCCCCTCATCCTGTATGCCTTTCCATTGTTTATATGCCATGTTGTTGTAGCCATGTTGGTTCCAGGATATTAGAGAGACAAGGTGGGTGAGGTAATATCTTTTATTGGACTAACTTCTGTGGGTGAGAGAGACAAGCTTTCAAGCTACACGGAGCTCTTCTTCAGGTCTGGAAAAGGTACTAAAAATGTCTTGGCTAAATGCAAGATTGAACAGATAGTTTAGCTTTAGCTGTATACACCTATTTTAAGGCTCCTGTACACTGCCAGAAAGGTAGAAAGGGGCCTTAGCATAAATGAGAATCAAGTCCTTGATATTTTGAATCTAAAGTAAAACCACCTAAAAGTTAAAACAAAACAAATGTTAAAAAATAAAGTGTTAAGTTGAACATATTATCATTTCATAGTCGATGCAAACATCTTTTGGGAATTCCAAGGTAGAAGTTTGCACATACCAGGCAGTTCTTTTTGCATTACCCATGAATAATTGGGAACAGCAGGTTCTACGGTATTTGCACATTATGTCTAATCAGGGATTCAGATTAGATTTTTACAAAGCATTGTAAAGCAGTTTATCACACTAGGTTCTACAGGCTTGATTTACGCTTGTGATAGAATGATAAATAATGGGATGACATGCTCTGGAAAATTTAGACAGTAATAAATGTTATATCATTTTCAAACCAGATCAGAAACAAATGTAATTTCATTGGGCAGGGTTGAGCACACAATTAAACAGAGCATGCTTTTAATTTTAAACCCAACCGTACTGCTGATGCCTTTTGCAAATGTAATGTCTGCTTCCATTGTTGAAGTAATTCTTTTAAAGTGAGGTGAAAACAAAGGTTTTCTGTGGCACAAGAGGCACCAAATGGAGTATAACGACCAGCCCAATTCAGATTTACTGTATTTTCCCTGCTGAATACAGTTTGTATCTGAAATCAATTTATTTAAAATTAAAATGTATACTTTACACAAAGTATAAGAAACATTACCTGTTGCCTCCACCATGCCTTCTAGAATTACAACAATTTCTAGTTCCTCTTTGGGCAATTGGTCTTTGGAAATCTCCCAGAAAGGACTCTGCTGGTTAATTTCATGGCTGATGATCAGTGGTGAAACCAAAAAGAGACGATCATCCCCTGTGTAATAACCTACGTTGATATCTGTCTGGTTGAGTGGTATAAATTCCCCCTCCTTTGTCTGTTTAGATTTGATCAACTTGGCTCGTATTGATGCCTCCACAATGTGTGAATTCCTAAGGTCCCCTACTCGGAACATCAGGCACAGCTTCCCATCCCGCATGGAAATGACTGCGTTGGTAGAAAAGACCAGAGTTTCTGCCCTCTTCTTGGGCTGGGATATTTTCACAAACATGCAACCAACCATGAAAGCATTGACAATAGAACCTAAAACAGACTGAACTAAAAGCAGAATAATTCCCTCGGGACATTTGTCCGTGATGACCCGATAACCATACCCGATGGTGGTTTCTGTCTCTATTGAGAATAAAAAGGCTGAGACAAACCCATTGAGGTTACTGACACATGGGGTCCATGTACTGTCTCCTATATGTTCCATATCACCTCGGATGTAAGCAATTAGCCACCAGATCATTCCAAAGAAGAGCCATGTCACAGTGTAAACCATGACAAAAATCAAAAGGTTGAACCTCCATTTGAGGTCGACTAAGGTAGTGAAGATATCACTCAGATAACGATAAGTCTCTCTCACGTTCCCATGGTGTACGTTGCATTTCCCATCTTTCCTAACATACCTCTGAATTTTTCTCTTGGTACATACTTTGCTTATGTGTTTTGGAAGATCCTCTCTAGCTTGTTTGGGCAACTTTGGCTGCTGAATCGTGACAGGGCTCTCCACGTCCTGCTCCATTGAGTCTTCTTCAAGTACGCTAGCTGCCATTAAAAAAAAGACGTTAATATTTATGTGTATACAGACAATTGAATAAACACACAACTTCCTTCTGTATTAGCAGTAGGAAACAAGAATTAATTCATTACTAATAGAAATAACTTTGAAAGGAAACTTTTTCTTCTGTCACGGGCTTCCTATCTATTATTTCAGAGATTTGATCCTGTCTACACCAGTGGTTAAATTCTGCAACACATATTCAAACAAATGTTCTACCCCCTTTTAAAATGTAATACATTTGTACTGCTTATAAGCCAAGAATGATCTTCTGGGAGATTATATAAATGAAGAAACAGATCTGCTTTGGGGCTTAAGTCACTAATATGAGCAGAGAAAATGAGCAATTGTTAGACTATTTTTTTTAACATTGATGCCATTACTAAGGGGAAAAGAATTAAATACATGTAAGTGGTTTTAAAAAACGCTTTATTTTCAAAGGAGCCAATTCTGCTCTCATTGACCTCAACAGAAGAAAGATCGGGCCTTAGCATAATATACACCAACAGCAATTCTAACCAATTTCTATACAAAATAGATGTGTTTATACTTAGCCTGGGCAGTCTATGTCCTCCTCTCACTAATGTAAAACACACAGTACTTCAGAAGTTGGTGCCATGGTAGTTCACTTGGGTAAGCACCCAAGAATGAGGCTATTAATCGTAGTGCACCTTACTTTCTATGGATATGAGCCCCTAGCCACCCGGGTATCTGAGTGCCTTCCAAATATTTAACAACAGTAACAGTCTCTTTCTTTCTCCCCACTTCCTTCCCACCCTTTTGAGAGAAATAGCTTGATTAGTTTATAGGCTTTTGTTTGTGTGAGAGAATGTGTGGGTGTTGTGTGTGAAAAACTTACTGAGGGAAAGCTAAGTCAAATACATGAGTTTTGCACTTCATTCAGAGCACAGGGAGACCTGTGGTTATTCTTATCTCTTGTAGGAAAGTGTTTCTCACTCTTGTGTGAGTTACAGCTCCTGCTCTCCCAAACCTCACCCTATTGGCTGAGTTTTGTTGTTCCAATAGAATGTAGTGGTCATGGTTGTGGAGGGAGAAGCAGTCTCTCAAGCAGCTAGGAGCAATGCCTTAGAAGGTTTTGAATATCAAAACAGAGGCCTTGAACTATGAGAGATGCTCTAGTTCAAAAGGAATTATTTGGGGGCTTGGAAATCTGTGAACTAGGCTCTCTATTCAGCGGGGACAGTGCAGACTGCAGAACACTTAGGTGATTTGTTTTTAGCAACCTATGTTGCTAAGCAGATGGTTTGCTGAGTTTTGAATCACTTGGAGCTTTCTGGGGTGTGTGTGGCTTCATCCCTCTGGAGCAGAGTCAAAGGCTCTCTGTAAAATTCTAGGTGCAGGTAAAATACACATGAAAAGAAGGTGCTGTAAAACTCCAACTGTCTCTCTACCTCATCTAGCTGTCAGCCATGCCCCTGTCTACCCAATAGCCACGAAGGTTGGCAATAGCATTGAAACCTGCTAGCATTTTTGTGTGTTCATGTTATGGACTCCAATGACTTCTGTGTCATTTTCTAATCTTGTTACTATTTCTTTAAAATAATTTTATTCCAGCTGATTTCAGGGGCAGCATTTACAGCAATGTTCCAACCAGTCAGTTCTGGATGAACTTATCGCAATTGGTGACAGTGCTGCCTTCTTGGATTACCACTAATGCAGTATAATGAAATAAACACACAAAAAGCGCATTCAAGTAACCTTTTGGGGATGACTTAAACTAAAGCCAGGAAATTTGGCGTTAAGGCTTTATACTCTATGCTTAGCTCACAATTGTGTTGAAGGGAATTTCAGTCCCTGGAATCCATAAAATCACTGCAGTAGCAGCCCCTTGAAATAGCCAGGAATGGGTTATGAAGCCTCTGGCTTAGAGTTTTAAAGTAATGTTAGTTACACTTGTAATGTCCTTGTAATGGGACTCTGTCAGATGCAAAGAGACACTGTGTAAGCTTTGACAATGCATTTCAGTCCTTGCAGACAGTCTCTGCTGAGTTTTGTTATTCAAGCAAACTTTGTTGCACATCTCCAGTTCTGAGCCTTTCTTGAGCAAAGACTGCAAATGGCACCAAATAACATAGTGGAACTAGGACAGGGATAGGCATACTATGGCCTGGGGGCTGCATCTGGCCCTTCAGACATTTTAATCCAGCCCTTGAGCTCACGCCAGGGGGTAGGATCCAGGGCTTGCCCTGCTCCGGCGCTCCAGTCGGGGAGCGGGGTTGAGGGCTTGCCCGTACCGTGGCTCCACGCAGAGCCTGCATTCCTGACCCCTTCCCTCACCCCAACCATCTGCCCTAGCCCTGACCCCCCTCCTGCCTTCTGAACCCCTTGGTCCCAGCCTGGCACACCCTCCTGCACCCCAAACCCTCATCCCTAGAGCCTGCACCCCCAGCCAGAGCCCTCCCTACCCCGCATCCCAAACACCTGCCCCAGCCCGCACACTGAACTCATTTCTGGACCCACCACAGAGCCTGCACCCCCAGCCAGAGCCCTCACCCCCTCATGCACCCCAACCCCCAATTTTGTGAGCATTCATGGCCCGCCATACAATTTCCATACCCAGATGCGGCCCTCGGGCCAAAAAGTTTGCCCACCCCTGAACTAGGAGGAGACAAACACACTAATTTCACTTGTGATTTAAGAATAAATTTGAAATGATGTCTCCAGAGGTGGAACTTCCCAACAACCAGGTACTGCACTCTCTAGCCTGCTTTGTAGGTTTATTTTTGCTTTTGAAGCACTTATTACTACTATATTTAATTTCAGGCTCACAAAGTGCTTTATGTTAAGTAAGACCCTCCACACTGAGTGATCTGAAGCACAAAGAAGGTTTAGGTCCAGAATTTCCAAGGTGGCCACTAATTTTGTAGTAGGAATGAGCAGTACTTATGCACCCCAGAGCTCAGGGAGTGCAGAGATTGCTAGTGCGAGTGGCCCGCAGAGACCTCTCTCCGCAGGGTGCAGGGAAGCCTCTCTCTCACCCATAAGGCTGTGCAAGGGCCGCTCAAATTCTGGTTTTTTGCATACAAAAAACAACCACTACAAACTCTCTTTTATTAACCAAAGACAATCACTAACTTTAATATAAAACTGTTTCAATAGAACATCTTACAAACAGGTGCTCACAGACACTTAGATTACGCTGGAGACATCTGCCTGGATCTTCAGCCAGTTTCCAATGCCAACCTCTCTAGACCGTCAGGCAGTCTCCGAAAAAAGTTAAACTCAATACTCCAACCTTTTCCCAGTTATTCAAGATACCCAATTAATCCTATCACTCTTTCCACCACCCAAGCAATTCATAACCAAACACCCCCGCCTTGTGGCTGTCAGCTCTGAATTCCACCAGTCAGAGTCTCAGCAACTAGACACACTCTCAGTCTGGATTCTAGCTCCAAAGGGAAACACAAGAGCAGCAAGTCCCTAAATAAATGATGTCTGGAATGCACGTCTGTGTGTTGACAGAGATGCCAGGCAAACATCTTTTAAGCCCCTGGCAGGATCCCTTGCACATCCCCATGGCCAGTGAAAAGTCGCACATGGATGGTGCTGTAGCCACAAGACATTTAGTCTAATGATATTTTTACTTGGTATCAAGCCAATTAGCTTATGCTGTTTATCTCATTTCATTCGCTCTGCAGTTATATAATGATTGTCATAATTCCAGGGACACGGGAGTGAATGGCTGCTATCTTACTTGAAAGCTATTTTTATTCTTAGTGGTTTTCTTCATGGCAAATATATATAAATAATTAACCCATATGCTGAATAAGTATTTTCTACCTTGTACTGTTTATGGACCAGTCTATATTAAACTTGGGTGAACACGATGGCACAGGTAGCAATACCCTGGCTATTTAGCATATTCTGTTCAATGTAATACTCTGTGGGGCATCCCTTAGACAGTTAAATAGCATGCCTAAGTGCCTGCAGGGTGCTCATTTCACATTCTGTCCAATTACATGATTGTGTAAACATAAATAAGTCCCCTTACGGGTTCAGTCGTATTTAATCATAGCAGTACCTAGCAATGCTCATTTGTTCTTGCCTCTATTACTGTGAACTCAAAAAGGAATCATCTAATGTCTACACAAACGAAGTGGTCTGTATATTCCTGGATAACAGGAATATGATACTACTGATGAACTATTAGTTGTATAGGAGGGGTTTCAAAGTCCCGGCCCGCAGGCCATCTGTGGTCCGAGAACCTCCCCACTGTGGCCCGCGGAGGAGAGAGGCATGCAGTCACGCTGCCGGCAATGTCTGCTGCAGGTGCCGCCCCCCGCAGCGCCCATTGGCTGGGGGAGAGGGAAAGAAATACTATCACTAGTCGCCGGGCAGAGTCAGCCATGGAGGCAGCATCACTTTTTTCCATAATGAATATAAACAAGTCAAAATACTGAACAAAACTATCTGATGCACACCTTGCTGCAAGCCTGAAGATTTCAACTGCTTAGTCACTGAGGCCAAACAGCAACAAACTGACAGAACTGAAGTGTTGCCAGGTGTCTGGCAAACACTAAAAACTCTCTGGCAGGTGAAGAATTGTATAAAGTTGTATGACAGTTTTATTATTTCTAAGAAATTCGAAATAAAAAATACAATGTAAATGTTTACTTTTCTGAACACCATCTTCAGTGACATTATTGGCCCGCTGGGAGGATTTGAGGACTGACCCTGACCCTAAGGTAAATTGAGTTTGAGACCCCTGTTATATAGGAAACCAAAAATATAGCTATATCATTAGCTTCAGGGCTGCAGGTGAAAAAAACATTAATAACAATACCTAAAGTGGTGGTGGTAGTGGTGGCAATAGTACTTATTTGTATTGTGGTAGTGCCTGGAAGCCCGAGTCATGGACCAGAACTCCATTGTGCTAGGGGCTGTCCAAACAGAAGACAAAGACAGTCTTTGCTCCATAGGGCTTACATCTCTCTAAATGAAATGCTCATATCAATGTGACTATAGA